ATTCTAATGGTCCCGGGTTCGAGGGCTACTGTATCCACCTGAGAAGAGCAGACAATGTCGAAACGCGTCCTGGTGTGCAGCGTTTTCGGACGGGCAACGTCCAGTTTCCATCTGTTATCCTAAGCATTGTTAACAATCTGCCGCACGTATTTCATGTGGTGCGCATTGCATTCAACTGAAGTAAGACGCAAAACTTGTTACCATTGGTCAATCCTGGCTTATTCTGTCAGCGAAGCATTAAGCTGTCGCACCGATCCTGCTAAAGATGCTAGCAAATTGATTGTTTGAACCGATCGACCGCTTTGAGTGCGTGCATCCAATGGGAAGTGTTCGGAAAAATGCTGCCACTGTCAGTATATGCAACGATTTGAAGGGTCTAAATAAACGGATCTTTGTGGAGCGATTCATTGTGCCCACCAACGAGAAACTCACTAAGTTTGGCTGGTGCGACCGCTCCCCTCTAAGCTAGATTTGAAATGTGCATTTTCCATATGCCAGTGGTCCAGGATTCGAAGCGTCGAACCGCTTTCCTCGCTCCCGATGGTCTATTTCAGCACACAGTGTTACGCATAGGTTTGAGTTCTGCGTCCACTGTTTGGCAAAAGTCCACGACTCACGTCATCGCAGTCTGCATACATGAGTGATCCTTATGCCTTAGGTCGCTCATAAGAAGAGCATGACGCAAGGTTATAAAATGTCCCACGGCGTCTCATGCATCGTAATTTGCGTCTGAATTCAAAAGATTTCTCATTAATGCCCCCAAAATTCAATTTCTGGATACCTTTCACGTAGCAGCACTCGCCAAGTAATGAAAACATTCGGAACATCGCTGAGGCACCAACACCCAGGAATTAGACAGAACTACACTCTTCTTTGACAATTCGTACTGTGAGATTTAGCGACCCTAACAGATCAATTACGATAGCTAACAAAGAAAGCATCGTAGTTGATTTGGGGAAGCGATCAGCAAAATGTCTTTGATGAATTGTAGATTAGAGTTGCATCCGCCCCCTTAGTTGTCATTTTTGATGAATCGTGCCGCCATTTTTGTCGACTGATGCGTTTGGTGTTGATTTCCGTGCTGTTCTCTACAGCTACAAAACAAAGATGATAAAGTTATCGCTTGCGCATCCCGGAAGCTCTCAGATTATGAGTGTCAATAACCAATTTGGGAGAAAGAAGCTTTTGCGTGTGCGTGGATTTGTGAAAGATAGTATCTATATCTGTTCGGCCGTCTTTTCATCCTACGAAATGATAATTTAGTATTTACAGCCCTCAGCAATAGTTCTAACTACGAACCCATCGTTGGTATGCCAAACTCGTTAACTAGGATTTGCAGATTGTGTACGGACCGAGTTGGTAAAATCAGACTGCTGATGAATTATCTCGCTGAAAGATGACAACAAGACTTGGAGAGAGAGTATGGGTTTCCCGCCCTACCCTACTTTAACGGTCGAGGAATTACGAATGGAAAATGACAAGGATCCCATGCTACATCAATTCATTGGGTATGCGAAACAGAGATGGCTTAGGAACAACAAAGCCCCCAGAGAGTCCACCCCGTGTTACGTAGTCCGAGATGAATTGTTAGTGAGAGATGGTCGTCTGATGCGTGTTTCCGTGCATGTGGCTCCATCTCAGTTGGCAAACAAAATATAAGCACTTGCGCACATGAGGGACACCTGAGTATCGTTCGGGTCAAAAATCGAGCAAGACTGTACTTTTGGTGACCACGTATGGCGTCTAATATTAGGCTGGATATTCACCTGTCGCGGGTGCATAGAAGCGCATTCTTGGCTTGACTTGAGGACATTTGTGATGACCTGTTACGCAAGCCGATTATCGGATAAAATTTCGCTGTCGGTCGGAGCTCCGATACAGACGATAACTTACCCGATGAAACCGTTGGCTAAGATAGCCATTGATATCATGGACCCTTTGGGCAATATTCCCACGAATCATAAAACTACTTGTTGCTATATGTTTTTAAGGCGAATGACCTGAAATCCGTCGGTGCGATCAAGTGACTACTTCGGTTTTGTTAAGTTGACTTAAACACTTGTTCCGTCATTTTGGGCTACCGGTGGAAATAGTCACTGACAATGGATCACAGCACTTTAGCCACAACTTCGCAGCTTTCCCCCCAGTGCAATAACGTAAAACGTTCAAGAACTGCACCTCATAATCTTGCGGACAATGGTATAGGCGAATTGCTAAATCCATCCCACAAGGAAGTCGTAGAGGTCATTCAATTAGGAATCGAGAGATGCTGTTCTAACTGCTGTAGTGTATCAAGGAAATTACAACCACAGAGCTGTTGGAAGAAGACCAGTGGAATTGATGTTAGGAAGGTCCTGAAGCACTACACTAAATGTTGCAAATAATCTATCATCCGTGACAAGTGCCAAAGTCCCAGATCGCATGGCATTTGACAAAACTGCCTACAGCAGATCGTCGAATCATATACAGGTTGGCTTATATGTTCGCGTTAAAAAACAGGCTACGCCAAAAGGCCTTCCAGTGCTATCCGCATCACTGAGAATCACGCAGACATTTAGCCCAGGGAACTAACGATTGGAAGACGGCCTAATCTTCAACACACGTGGGCTTCACACCGTTCACAGACCAGATACCCTGTCTCATCAACGTACGCGTAAAGACCAGGCCGAATCAACGCTGATCGATTTGAAGCACGAGCATCGGCGCCGGCCACGCACTAGGGTGCGCCAACCTTGCTGGCTGCGTTTCGACAGACGTCCGAGAAGACACTGTGAGCGCATAGGCACCCGCCAACTGACGAGGTCAGATGTGCATCAGGGTATGGTGGCATTCATACCGAGTAAGTGCTCACTAAACACAGCTGATTGTTATTGGCCACATGCCTATCAAACATTAACAGCAGCAGGCATACTTTCATGTGTAAATCCAATTGCCAATCCGGATATTAAGTTTTTACATAATTTCTGAAATTCTGGGTGCTAACCCACGCATTCCGGCTAATAGGGAGCACAACAAAACTCGCAAACACCAAGGAGGAAAACTGCTCGTTTCATTCTGCGTTAGAGATAAAAGCGGTCGCTACTTTGATAACCGCCGGAAGTTACTCCGTCTAATACAGGAAACAGGCAGCAGGAGACCTGGAGGTAGCGAAATTACATGCAAAGTGAGGGAGCAGCGTATCCATAACATGGCAAAATGCTTAGAACGTTAAGCTGAACATTTTGAAAACCAACATAATCGGCCGAAATAATCAGATGCGCTCCCTACCAGTGATCGACCTGCTCACTGATCTGTCCATCCGGACCTGCCTTCACGTGCAGAAGTCGAACGTGACATCAGGCTGGAGGAAAAGGACTTTGTTCAGCCTTAGTAAAATTTAGGGATTTGTCGCTGAAGATGATTCACACGATTCACTAGTAAAACTGAGGGAGCAGTAAACTGCCCTAATCGCATGAAGCTGCTCTGTTATAGTCCGATTTTCAAACGAGGCTCACATTCGGAATGCGGCAATCATATACGTATCAGCCTCAGCCCCATTGCCTCTGTCGTTCCTCACATATGAACTGGTGTCCGTGGGAGCCAGATACGCAAAAAGGTTTAGTCAAAATCGAGGCTGCACTGATTAAATATGAAAATTAACAGCTACTTGAACTGCATCATGTCCATTAGCCATCCTTCGCAGCCGCGTTCGTATCCATCAAAAGTGCCTTCAATTCAGTGGATCAAGGTGATCACTGGTGTAGTGACATTTCCACGAAAATCTTGCTTTTTCCATTTTAAAGACTAATTCCCGTGTTTGGTTAGCCCATCGGAACGCTTATTAACTCTGCCATACCATTACGTTTCTCTTGGTTAGCTCGGTAATGTATATATTGATAGACTGTTTGACATAGTCCGAACAAACGTTTGCTGCCACCTGTTGCTTTACCCCTGAGCTCATGCTGGTTTTTTGGTTGTCGTATTGCTCTGCTGCGTCTCCGGAACCCATCCACTCGTAACTTTTAGCCTATCAATTGACTTATTTGCTTCTGGGCTATTGCACACTACATATTTAGTGGCAGCGTTGGGATTTCAAGCTGGCATTCCTGTTTACACGTCCCATCGTCTTTTCAAGTCACATGGATCCGATTGCTTGGACGCAGACGATGGAAGCTTATCTCTCCGCGGTTCTCGGCGCACATAAGAGTGCATGCCTCAATCGGACGACTACGTATTGGCGGTTTTATTAACTGTTGATCTCCCGTCAGACCCTTTGGTGGATATTATCTGGGGGCAACTTTACTCGCCGTAGTGTGCAACCAGAGAAAGTAACCACGGCCAGTGCTTACAAAACTGAACCAGTTCCCGATATGCAAGAGGCCATTGATTTTGTGCGTCGATCTGGTACGCTGTTCAATCACCACCAGTAGTCGACTACTGATCGTGGATCCAGCGCTACCAAACCGGCGGCCCCTGAGGTAGATATGATGCAGCCCACACTCTCACTGACGTTGAAACCGACAACGTACTGTGCTATCTCTAATAAGCCGTAACAGTGGTTGCAGCTGTAGCCTCAACCAACTTCCCACTGATACATCGCATAGCATGTAGCAGACGCCTACACCGCCTGTCGCCAACGCTGTATTCGATTAAAAAGTTGCATTCTGGCCGGAACTCAATCAACAAACACCTGGAGCTGGAGGGTGTCTATGAAGCTCTGCAGGTTAAGCCAGCATTAGGCACCAGATCGACAAGGAGAAGAAATGCCCACTCGACCAACTCAGTTGAACAGATCGAAGGCTGACATTCGAAGCAGGCAACAATCAATAGTCACTCGGATCTGACATTGGTTTGCGAGACCGCGAATCAGGACTGAATAGCCGCACTGAAGATGTTGCCTAGTGTGGCAACGAAACGTCTGCAACCGAAATGCCCAGCTCGGAGAACAGGACAATCCTCTCATCCACACCCCGAGCTACAAGTATTCTCTATAATTTGCAGCCAGGATGTTCGGCATTGTCATGTGTGAATGCGAGGCGTCCGATAGTGATGTTGGGGACAATGTTCCACTAAACATACAGCCTAACAACGCCGTGGACGTTGTCCAGTCCCATACCTATGGGGCCGACAGCTCGACTCTCGAAGTTCCATCAAATTTACGCTCCACCGGAGTGAGTGTGGTGAATGTCATTACTCCAACTGCCCATCCTACTTTGGATCGCTTACTCGATTGCATGGCTACTGGCCCAGCTTACCACTGCATTCCCGTACCAGTACCAACTGTCGCTTCCTTGTCAAACCATCCCACTCATTTGAACTCTGCGTGCAAACCTGCGGATCCTATTTCACTGAGTTTTGATACCCAGTCTAACACCTTGAAATATTCACATGTTAGTATATCCGATTTCGGTCGATATTATGACCACAGAAGGAAGAGACTAGTCAACTCGGTTTCTGGTGACACTGTCTGTTCACTGTGTGTGCCTTTCCACTTATCGAAACCTATACCTGCCCCGGCAAAATAGCAGCTGAATAAATATGAAAAACCTGCTCATCAATCATGGCCCTGGGCCATCTGGTGTGTCGCGCAGGACGCTTATCCGACGGGGAATAGTGTAGTGACATTCCCCCGGAAATCTTGCGTTTTCTTACAATTGGAAAGGCTAATTCCCGTATGTTTTGTTAACCAATTGGAACTTTTATTAACTTTTTGCCGTACCATTATATTTGGCCTGATTACTTCGGCAACATATATATTGGTGTCAGGGTGACAGCTAAATAAGAGGAAAGCTTGACTGGCTGCTGTCCCCTTCTGAGGATGTAGTAACTCTACTCATATATTTAACCAAGTTCCAAGACAGTTCATGCGCGCAAACGAAATAATCTGTTACTCCCGTTGCTTAATAGTTTGGAGTGCCGGTTGGACCTCGACACGCAATGTCGAAATGAGACGGCGGCTCGCAATTCACTGACAAAACGGGTACCTTAGACAAACCAACGATGCGTCATCAAGTGTTGTGATGAGCACCGTCTGCAGAGACCTGTGGTTTGGAAGGCAAATGCTCGAAAATCATAAACAAAGATGCAACATGCTGTGGGGCACAGTGAAAGAAATGAGGAGCTCTCAGCATACGCCCAGTGATCACCTACCCTCATTGTAAGTAACCTTTTGATTCCATTAGGTAAGTTGTGTCCGATGCTGCATAGCACAGGAACAATGGTACAATATGAATAAAAATACCGAGGCTTGACAATTCCCGCGGGATGGTTCGGGCAAAGCACTTAAATTCACAAAAATGTGACATTAAAGTGAAATGCGCATCAATGGACTCACCATAATATCCACGTCAACACAGCATACATCCAGCTACATCATTCTATCGTCCAGTATATGGACGCCTTTTGCCCACATGTACGTTAAATCTGCTTGACCTCTGTTCGGTCGCACTTTTGCGCATGCCTGGCCGGCACACACTGCACACCCATTACGGTCGCCCGTGAACTTGATGCCCTGTCGCCTCTTAGGATTGGAACAGTGGCCATGTCGTTGCATAGGACTTGGCGACCAAGTATAAGCGATTGTGGTAATGCGTTGAAAGACTGAAATCGTCGTTATTTGTCAGTATAGTGGTGAGAACGGTAATTTGTACCCTCTGAGTACTGCGTGAGGATAGTGTTGTGCAAGCACTGAGCAGTTACTGTTGAGGTTTGTCATTACTGAATTTTCGTTTTCCTTTGAATACTACCGCAGTTCAGTCTCGGCTTCGTTTTCGTCTGACCCATTACTCCAGAACCAAGCGAATCTGTTGCTTAAGATAATCAGCAGATTTCATGCTTTGCAAATGCATTCTTGGAAAAGGAAACAGCATATAGGGGGAAAAACTGCTATGGACAGAGGTAAGGAGTTTCTTGGAGAATACTACGTCGATAACGCGGATGAAAAACTACTGTTTTGTTCATCTTGTGAAGTGACTGTGGATCCATTTCGCAAATCAATCGTGGTTGACCACATCCACAGCCAGAAGAAAGCTTACAAGGGGGAGCAATAAGTTAAACTTGGTGCCGAGGGGGAACCAGTCCCGAAAAAATCTCGACAATCAAGTAACGTTAGTTATGTCGCCGTTGTGAATGCTGCTCGGGAAACCCGCAACACAGTGGTATCTATAGAACAAAAGACCATCTGGTGAGCAATTGCTTTCCATGATTCATCGTCAGACCATGACAATCATATAGAGGCTAGAAAAAGAAATCGACCCAGTTAGTTCAAAACGAATTGATCACGTGAAGGTCAATGTCAGAGTGGAAAAAACGAATTAGGTATCTTTCTACTTGAAATGATATCTGCGAATATTTCTCTGGAGAAAGCCAATAACCCCAAGTTGAGGAAATTTCTTCATGGACACGTACGAATTGGTGGAAGCATTGCCGGATCTGATGCGCTACGACTGAAAACGCCCTAACTCTATGGGAAATGTAGTCAGATATTGAAAGATATGTCCCGTGATACGTTTGTTAACGTTATAACAGACGAAACAACAAATGATCGCGGGATGATGGAACTATACATTCTGTTATGCGCACCATTGAAGTCCAACAAGGACAGTCTCTGAGCATGTCTCATCGACACGGTCAATGTGAAGAGTCAGTTTCGCCACAGTTGGAGCCATTCTGCGCAGCTTGACAATGATGGGTATAGAGTTCGGTAGTGCGACGACCTTTGTGTCTAATGGTGCTAGATATATGACAGCATACTACCGAGATGTCATTAAGCCTATTTGTGAGGATTCTGATCATCTCAGATGTGTTGCTCAGTGCATTAAATTGATTGGAGAGACAATTCGCAAACTCTCTCCGGAAGTCGACGAATTCGTTGCAACAATGAAAAGTGCGTTTCCTCTTTCGAGAAAATAGAGAAGTGTCTACATTGAGTATCTAACTCGCGAGGGCGTGGATAACCCAATCGCCCCACATGCACCGGTCATCACCCGCCGGAAATCCTAACTGGAAGCAGTCGCACATTACAGCAAGTATTTCCATCATTACCCAGCCGTGTTGTAAGCTGTACAACACGAGTCTGGAGACTCAGCTGGTGCATATTCTAACTAAGGAAACAACACATAAAGCTTTGTGGGGGCAACTGCGTTGCAATACGACTGTTGGGAAGAACATCATCTATCATCTGAGAACTGCCGAGTTACAGTCTCCGGTAACCCATACGATTTACAACGACCTCTCCAATCTATCCATGTCGCTGAAGAAAATTGGCTGCAACATTTATAGACATACAACTCTGCTTATCCCAAGCTGGCATAAAAGCCTAGGAGTTGCTGACATCACCAGCTGGCTGCAGTTTTCGAAAGCCATTAGAGTGTTCGACTCCATTCACCTCATCACCTTGCCAAATGATTCATGCGACTATGCCGATGTTCCAGGCCTGCTTAGCTCCCCAGCTCTGGCAGCCGAGTAGTTAATCTCCCGAATAGTGGTGGAAGAACTTCAATGAGAAAAATGTAAACATGCATGAAAGAATGCCACAAGTGCCAGACATCGCCGGCCGTTATCGGTACATTCCCGTGGATTCGGCAGACAGTGAACGGAGTTTTAACGACTACAAAAATGTTGTGTATAACAAGCGTCACAACCTTTCAGAAAGTAGCACGAAACACCTTGTTATGCTTTATTTTAATTTTTCTGTATCGAACCATAACTGACACGTATATAGTAAATGAAGGAGCCTTAATTTCTGTTTATTTTCGTTTTCGCGGTGAAATGGCGGAATTTAATGTTTGCGCCACAGAAATTTCGATTTTGATCGAGGAAAACATGTTTCACCATCGCGGAAAATTCGGGTCTTCAACAATGCATCGTTGAGTCGCTTGTTAAAAGATAGGCAACGTGTGCGCAGAAATGACGGACGTCGGAAAATCGTTCCACGACCGACAAATAATAATCCCGACGGCATTCTAGGCGACTGTATTGGATGGCCAGTTTCAGTTAATGGCCTCTCAGCTATTTGTTATGACTGTTTCAAGCAGTAACGGCAAGAGTGAACAGTGTTGCAAAAATGTGACGCACCAGATGAAGGTCACCCAGTAGACGGCGGTAACTTCCGCTGCACATTTTTAGGGCTTTCATCCATGGTTGGTGTGACAGGTGAAACAATCCCTACACATTTTTGGTTGCCCTTCGCTGCGGGGTCTCCGCTGCAGACAGATCGCGTCTTAGCCAGGGTTGCCAGGTCTGGATTGCTTACTCCATATGGAGGCCTCACATATGCATTAAGCATTTGCAGGAATATGGAAAGGTCGAATAGCAGAGCACGCTCCGTAACAGACCAAGATGTTAGTCGGTCTGTGAGCTTAAGGATCATACGCCTGCCTTGGAAACCGGCCCGTGACCTTAAGGATCACAAGTCTGCCCTGTAATCCGAGGGTGCGGATTCGAACCCGTGTAGGGACCAGGCGACCCTCGCAGTATCCTTAGCCCGCGTGCGACTGTTAGTGGCTGCGCGGCAGCGAAGCATCGGTACTGCGTACCGACGTACTGCTGATGCCTGCCTTTGTTGGCGAGCAAATATTAGTTATATTATTGTCTGGTTTAGTTCAACTAAACAACAATGAACCAGGCAGCACAGTGCGCTAGGCCTAATCGTCAATAATCGCGTCACTACGATAACAAATAAATTCAAACGGCGAGAAAACGATATAGAAGGCAAATAGGATACAAAGAAAAGGGAGTGAAGGAAGAAGTAGGAGAAATTAATCGGGATAAAATAGTAACCACTAAATGCAAGAGCACCACTGATTATGTGGGGTACCCCCAAGGGATTAGCTGTCAAAAAATAGAAGTGTGGACGAGGCAGTTCAAGGGCAAATTAGCAGCATTAAGCTATAAACATCAACCTGATTCGTATCACCCCCTGAAGTAATAGTAAAAGAAGAAGTCACCCAAAGATCAATTAGATTCTCATATATTTGATAAAGACGGATATGTGCAACAGGCGTGCTCGTTAGTCTGGAAGTCAAACTGATAGTAATGATGTCCAGCCAAATCCGGTGCAAATGGTGATGTGAGGCAAAGACGGAGAGACAATATAAATTGATCATAAAACAGCCACCGATATGGAAAACCGAGTAACACCGGAACCGTAATTCAACGCCATAAAAGTGCATACCTGATTTTCATTACCAAGGTGAGGGGGACTTGTAACAAATAATTCTGTCATTTTGAAGTGAAAAGATGTCACCAGGAAGCGGGAGGGGCAACGTAAGTGTACCGGTTTAATTCAGTGGTCATGGAAATGCGGTATAAACGACACACAGAGTGAGACCGCAAATTGCACCATGCGCATGAGTAACAGAAGACCAATGAAGTCGAGAGCAGGAAAAAGAGATACACACAGCGCAAATAAGGCGGTGGAAAGGACCAGTGGACGAGGTGAGCAGGTTCCCCGGAGCTGATGTGTGCACACAATGCAGACGGAATGCAGCATGTGGGAGGCGAGTAGCGTGGTGAATAGCTTCATCTGAGAACTAGGTCAGAAGAGTTTTCGGTGCAACACACGACACCCTTCACTGTCGTATTCGCGTTTTGAGATCCACATGCGCTTGAACGTATCCAGGGATGCCAAAATCGATCCACCTATCCAGGTGGAATAAAGACGCTCCTGTGGAGCCGAGATTCGTAGACGGGCATCCTTGGGAGCAAGACGTTTAAGTTCCAACACCAGACGGTCACCAAATCCTGAAACGGATGAGAAAGACAATGAATGCGCGTATGTTTCTTTTTTATAAAAGAAACACGCTGTTTGCCTGACAAATGAAGAGACGACATCGACTTACCTTTAAACAAAGTTGACCCGCCAGAAAGCACAATATTCTCGTACAATGTGCGACGGAGATCCATGTCCGCCTTGCAAATGGATTGGTAGAGAACCTGTGTATAGGAGATAAAACGATTACATCCACAATAAAACGAACAGAATGATGAGGTGCAACCAAAGTGGGGAGAGTAGTGCGAATCTCATGGCTTATGCGCTATAGTGGGTGAATAGCATCGCTGCAAGCGTCAGTAGAACCAGCTTTAGCCATGTTAGGAACCTGGGAAGACAACCGCTTATGTAAGTGGAGGAGACGCCAAATATCCAGGCGTCTGATGCCGACAAGTGGACAGAGGAAGGAAATGCGTGGTTCCATCGACGTAGTGTGTTAAACGCTAGATGGCAATAATGCGGCCAAGGGCATTTAGCAGAGGGCGTGTCTGCATATGATCCGAATGCTGAAAACAATGGGCTGCGTAACCAGTTCCAGACTTGCATGTTAGTGGGGCTAAGAGTACTCAGCGTTGACCTGTGCCTGGGGAGGGACTAGAAGCAACTAACAATACTGCATACACAAACGTATATCTAAAGAAATAACCTGAATAGGAAAGCGGATGAGAATTATGAACGATGCGAAGCATGCAGGCACTGACTAATGTGTAGAGACGTCATGGCAATATCCAGAGAAAGAAAAGACAAGTGACACCACGACGAAGCATATGTACCTTGCGACCATTTTATTCATGTCAAACAGGCATCAGAAGTACACCGACACACTGCACCGACGCTTCGCTGCCACACGACCAATACCAGTCGCATGTGGGATGAGTATACCATGAGGTGGCTCACATCTACGCGGATTCGAACCGGCGACCTCAGGATTACAATGCAAAAGCACGATCCTTTTGGTCACCGGCCGAAAGATGTCAGGTGAATGCCAGAATAATAGCAAAGAATAAGAAAAGGAATCGCGCACATTCGATGTAAGAAGGCTGGCGTCTGAATAATGTACGGCATAGATCGGGCCTTGTCAAAGGGAATGAATCGTGCTCTCACGTTCAAAAACAGATGCAACAATGGTTAGGAAAAATTAAACCTGATCTAAGTAATGGAAAATAACTAATCTAAGGATGCCTCTGCAGACCCCGATACCCAAATCACACAAGAGAGCAAAGTGAGTACCACACGACAACGCAGTACACACCGGCTTTAATAAGCTTGGATCCCAACGCATCTTCCCTGAGATCGAACAGGGCATACTGTTATTCCGATGTCAAGGTTATTCAGTGTTTTTCACCTACGAACGGTGGCTAAAAGGATTACACACTTTTCTTGTAATCCAGAGGTCACCGGCGTAAGTAGTACGCCGGTATGCAGTACCGACGCTTCACTGCCGCGCAACGATCATCAATCGCGCGTGGGCTAAGGATACTGCGAGGGTCGCCCGGTGCACTACGCAGCCTCGAACCCGGGGCGTCAGACATGTGATCCTTGAAGCCACGGGCCGGGAGTGAGTGAGACCGACCTCACGATACACCCAGCCGACGCGCGACAGGTGATGGTCGCATGACAGCTAAGTGTTTGTACCATGTGTTAGCGTGTTGCTGAGGTCTCTTCTTTCGTTTTTATGAAATGAGAAGTAGCAGACAAACTGAAAGCAATCCAGATGTGATGGGATACATCATCTAACCCAAAGTAGGCACCAATTACTCTGCGATATGGCTAATAGTTGACCAGATGCGGATGAACCCGACGGTGAGTAGGTCACACCATTCGAGTGCTACTGTCTGTGAAACGAGAAACATGCATCAGATGAACCATGCGAGAAAGTAAGTGGAAAGTAACCCGACTCTATACCATTTCCCGACCAAGTTGTCCTCTTGGGCAACAGAAATAATCTGAGGGGGCATTCAACATGAGTCTGCTCGTTTAATTTGTTCCGTGCATAAGCCAGTCACTTGTGCAGGTGTGTATGTGTGCGTGTATAGCCCGTCGCCTTCAGCCAACTGGACCTCAGACGCACTAAGTCATAGGGGTGCAGGTGGGACGCTTCAGCTCCTACGCACGGAACAAATTAATCGAGTAGACTCATGTTGAATGCCCTCTCAGATTATTTCTGTTGCCCAAGAGGACAACTTGGCCGGGAAATGGTATAATTAAACAAGGTGGTTAAAAAACGCCGATATTGCTGAGTAACAGCCACTGTAGAGCACTTACCACACAATTCGTCAAAATAGGTTTTATCCAAACATATGTGCGCATTTTCAGCACTTTACGACAGAAACAGATTATGAGCAGTGCATAAGCCAATTCCAACAATGTGGGTGGTTAGGGAAAACCCAATATTGCCCAAAGATATCCAATTTATGCAGCAGTTTACCTCGTGAATGCCAGAAAATTCTTCACCGCACAGTTCAGGCCTGAAGAGCAGCTCGGGTGCACGGAATCGGGCCGGGCCGATATCCAAAGTGGAGCCATCTGGAAGGGGGTACTGAACTTTCGCTTCGATTGCCTCCACTTTACTCGGGTTAAGAGTGATGAAACAAGCACGCTCCTAGAAAGCAAAAAATGCGACCGTGACAGAAGTTTTGTATCGATCGGCACGGCATATTATGAAGCAGTAAGATCTCTGGACCACCAATGATAACATGGAGAAAATGTGTTCTAAAAAGGAGCTATAAAAAGGTAAAAAATATCTTCGTGATGTACAATGGGAAAACTTCCAGAGATCGGATAGCCATGCTTACGAGAGCGCATCATTTCAGAAGCCTGGCTGATTCTTATATATACAGTCAAACCTGTCTAAGGCGACCACTCAAGAGGTCGACAAAAAGTGGTCGCCATGGACAGATTCATGCATAGGGACATTACTCATGGGAGAAAAAGTTGGGGATGTTTACGGTTGGCCGCCATAGTGGGTTGGACTGTATTTGCAAGTACCAAGAAAAAACATGTTAATAGAATACGCCCAATTGGATATTTCGAGTGTTTTCCTCAGCTGTTGACATACATTCTGTGAAATTGTCGGGTTGCATACAAACGGAAGCAATGTGAAAGGCAATTCAGTTCGATTAAAAATGATCAATAACCTCACCAAGATAAGGCGAGTTTGGTCATAAACCCAGTCTATTTGCACGTACTGGGCTTCAGCGGACAGATAGCTGAAGCTTCGGTAGACTGAAGCAAACGCACATTGCTCTGTCGGTTGAACCAATCAGAAGGAGTGAGGCACGCAGTGCAATCTAGAATGTGTTGTGCAATAAAACCGACAGGTAATTTGTGACCGTTGCCGACCAGATTTCGTGGAATGTGCTCTGAAATCCTAGTGGATAGCCTCCTCTCAGTTCGATCAATGTAATTACTATCACAGGTATGGTGGAACAGGTGAACACAAGATGTGGCTCGTCCAGGTTAGATTTACAGAACAACTTCCTAAGTTGATGCAAGAACACCAGTTCGGCCGCTTAACCGTATTTCCTTACGGTCTGGTGGAGGCAGTGCTGGAATCTTCTATCATACTGACTCCCCTTTGCTCCCCACAACTAAACCTTTTTCTACCTCCAACACACATTAACCTTTCGCAGTCTCAATTTCACCTGATCGAGCAACAACAAGATACGTCGTGCCGGCTGGACGAAAACCGTCAATTCTGGGGAAGGAGTGGACGCCACCTACCTTGACTTATCGAAGACTTTTGATAGTCTAGATCATCACACTCCTCTTTACAAGCTTCGGAGCTATGGGATCGGTGACCCTATCCTGGGCTGGATACATTCGTTCCCACTCAAATGCCGCATGAATGTGAGTTCGTAGCACCCATTGCAACTCATTGTTCATTGTGGCGTCCCTTCACACTTGGTACTAGGATCACAGCTGTTCTTAGTGTTCATAGACGACCACGCGGGAGAGTTGACGTCGAACGTTTTACTCTTTGCGTACGGCTTCAAGAATCGGCGGGCAAGCAAGTGAGTAGACGACCACATAGCACTGCAGGGTGATCTTAACAGTGCTTACAAGTGGTCTTCTTAGAGCATGTGAGGTGATTTCATATTGGCGTGTCAGATACTTAAGGGTCCTAATCACACATGCCGAACCTCACTGAAACTCGATCACAACGCCTCCCTGAAAGGCCACCATTGAGAATTGTCCATACAATACAGCCGGCTGAAATGCCACCGGAACGTTTTCGCCACTCGTGCACCCAAACCGTGGAATTTAATTCCGCATTCTATCATCTCCGTTCCTACGTTGGCTGAATTCGAAACTCGACTTGATGATGCATTACCGTCGGGTGCGAGTCGACCTCATTATGACCTACCGTATACTACATCTCGGTGACTTCCCCATGCTGAGGCCAATGCTGCACTTACGACGGCCATGTAGCACCAGCGGACACAGATACAAACTTGTCGTGCCGGATTTGAAGCGAGTTCCCCACCCACCATGCTTCGAACTGAGAGTGGTAAATATTTGGAACAGCTTGGTTGAACATGTGATGGAGGCAACATCCGTGTAGTAGTTAAAAACGTTGTTAGATTTATATGTTACCACTATTCGATTCATAGAATGATTGTACACTTACGATGACATGTCACATTTGTGAGTCCTGCAATACAGTGAGTGCGATATTTTAAATGTTACATGAGAGCGATAACAATACTCACGGCTGACAATTTTTAAAACGTTTTTCATCATAGTTAGAAAGAGTTGTACAGAATTCATTTCTACTTGCTCTAGAATACAGTATTCAGCCTACATTACACGATTTAGCCCAAGTTAGTGGGACACGGGATAAGGTAACCAAACGATTTGCACACGTGAAATTTGCGGTAAGTTCGCCGCTATGCGTTGTTTTTTCTTTTTTCGATAAATGCATTTTTGGCTTAATTATCTACATACGGAAACTATTCAGCGTTTACTTATTTATCCGTGACAAATCCATTGTTTCACTGGTGCTCTTGTTTATCTGAATTAGGCCTCAGAGACGGTGACGAGCGTGTTTGTATCTCTAGCGGTGTCCGGGATACTTTAATAAACAGAAAACGGAAGATCATCTGAACTGAATTCCAGCGAACAGTCCCATATGTGCAGGTAGACTTTGAGTCAGGATCAGAATCGACATTTATCGCCTGAAGACAACACGTTATCTTAATGCTTCGGCGTGTGTACCCAAGGATTGCAAACTCGGAGGTCGTCAAAAACGAACATTACACTGGTCAATAAAAATTAACTTTTTCTGGTGCCGATGACATTTCAACGAATTTACAGTATTTCGGTGCTGATTTCAGACATGAAAACAGTTTTATTACACTGGCTCTAGTTATTAAGATATAATAATTAACCAATAATTAATTACTAGTATTAATTAATAATCTCTTAAGTTTCCCTTGTTTCCAAAGGTTCTAGAATACACATCGGTTTTCCATAAGCTTGTATTCTAAAACCTTTGGAAATTATGAAATCCCAGTCGGTTCCAAGTTTATTCAAAGATCTTGAATTTCCTTTGTTTATTGCACAGATTTACAAGTTTCTCTAGATGTAGCTGTTTGAACAACGCCGATGTATTCTGCTACATTGATGGCGAATAAATTGAGGCAAAGATGTTACTCTGTTTTGAGTCAAGCGTATTGGGTTTGTTTTTGTATAAAATATGGGGGTAAGGCGAACTCCTAGGCTCCTCATAAGTTTTGCAAAACCTGTGTCGGGTGTCTACGTAAATGAACAAATGGTCTGAGTTTTAGTGTTCTTATAGTGTAGAGCGAACCGACAAGCCATCATCATGATTGTTATATCCGTGCTGTCAATGAGGAAGACTTCAATCGATGCGACCGATTCTGGATATCTACGTGAATTCAGATGGTGAGCTCTTTCGTAGGACAGCAAAGTGGATACGCAAAGTACCCTTGCATCATGGGCTTATAAGACAGTAAGGAGAAGCAACATTGGCGTACCAGAGAAAACATGAATTTAGGCGCAGCGGACATTACCAAGAGGCCTTTTGCTGACAGAACACATTATTCTTCCACCCCGTCATACAAAGTTAAGGCTGACGAAATAATTAGCTAAAACACTGTTTGTTCCAAGTACCTTTACCTTTGTAGGACAATTCTTGAACTGAGTATGGTGAAACCGAAAGCTGACATCTGCCATGGTCCTCTAATTCGATAACTCATTAATGATCGAAATTTTACATGTGTGAACAGTGTTGAGACACGTGCTTGTGATGGTCTCCGTTGTCAACAACTTCTTGGGTAAGCATGAAGCAAGTAGTTGTGAGGAATTTAAGGAGAATCCGCTCGTACAGTTTGACATATTGGGTTGTAACATGAGTATAAAGCTACATTTTCTCCATTAGCACTTAGACAAATATTCACGGACAGTCATGATTACGTCGGGGAAGAACATGGTGAGAGGATCCATCGGGACAATAAGGTGATGGAAAAGTAGGTAGCAAGGTAGACACATGATGAGACCACGATCATAGATGACTCCAGATATACTACTACATAGCGAGAAATCGTACAAGCAGTGTTCTTTCTTTAAGAATTAACTGGCATGATATTTATCGGCTAAGCAAGTTATTTCCTAAGTTGTCGAGTACACAAGACCATTAGGTATTTACTGTCACTGCATTTATAGTACAGCAAACAATTTCCATATGACAGACTACATATTCTCTTGTTTCTATCCTTTTATGTCTTTCAGTAGGTGCACCGTAGTTCAAAATGTAAAGCCAATATAGCAAAACCGAGGCCAGATTCGGTATCGGTGGCACGAAATTACCCTAAAATCACTATAAGGTCTCTGGCACAAAAACCACTGTTGACCAGTGTTATCAGCAGCCCGTCGTCCTTAGGGCCAGGAATACTGATCTTGTGAAATGAACGCTCAAATGAGTTGCTTATCAGAGCTGACTTAAGTCTAGAAGACCGGTCCAGAGCCGATGATCATAGCAATGAAAACGATGATCGATGTACTCAATTGGGTATCGACAATAACGCCGCCTCCCACATCAAAACATTCGCTGAGGGCTATCTGGTGCTTACCACCACCACCACCACCACCACCCTGCACACATACTGGAGTTGACGTGGCCTACTTGGATTTCTCAAAGGCACTCGACCGCATAGACCATCGCATTCTCCTCACAAATTCCAGAAATATGGAATCGGTGATCCTGTTCTGGGCTGGATAGGAGACTTTCTCGTTCAACGTCACCTGAATGTGAGGGTTCGAAGCAACCTATCAGAATCCATCGAAGTTCAATGCGGCGTACCTCAGGGCTCGGTACTTGGACCCCGCCTGTTCCTGGTCTTCATAAATGATCTCGCGACCGTGCTATCTTCTAACTGTTTGCTATTTGCTGATGACCTAATGGTATAGCGCACTATAGCTGCAGTGGAGGATCACACATTCTTACAGGAGGACCTGGACAAAGCGTACACATGGTCCATCGAGAACATGTTGCATTTCAACGTCACCAAGTGCAAAGTTCTCAGTATACGGCACAAGAGTATGCACAACTACCGCCTAGGACCACAAATTCTACAGCGG